TTATTCTCTTTTATATATTCTTGAGTTATTTGTTGTCAATAGAAAACACTATCTGTAGCTTTGACTAAAAATAATACAAGAGAGCATTTATCAACTCGTGGCTCAAGAATTTCTAATGATTTATAAAAATGTTTGGGTGTCAAAAAATGTGGTGGTAATGGAGTCTGTTTCCATTTCAGTTTTTTTTTTTTAATTCCCTAAGGCAAAAGAAAAAGAATACCAAAAGGAACCAGAAGAAAGTAGGGGGGTGGGAGAGAGAAGAAGAGGAATAATCAAAGCTTGCAATTTGGAGTATCTACCCTTATAACTTTCAATTTGAGTTTCATTCTGGAAATGACTGCTTCTTTTCTGCCTTTATATCCTAGTTCACTCATTCAGCAAATATTAATGGAGTCCTTACTAGGTGCCGGTCACTGTTTTTTATGTATTCCCTCTGCCTGGACTTTATTTTTCTTTTTCCTTTTCTGCATAGTGAACTCCTATTTATCCTGTGTGATATAACTCAAATATTGTCTACTTATAAAAGATGGAATTCTGCTTCTGGCTGTAATGGAGTGAAAGGCTAACATTCCCACTAAGAACAACTAGAAAATCTAGATAAAAGTCCATAAGAATCGTGTTTGCAGGCATCAGAGAGCTGCCAAGGCAGTTTGCTGAGGTGAGCCCAACATCGTGTATGTTGCTTTTCTCCTTAAAACAGTTGCTAAAATCTTAAATAGCTAAAAGCAGAGCAAAGTTTATGGCAGTCTCATGGTGTTAAGGAAACTAAAAATTTGAATTTTACCTCACCAAAGAGGAGGTGAGTGTAGTTAATATCCAGGCTTTCAACTGGGATCCATAGGCATTGGGCTTCACAAAGACTATAATACCTCCTCAGGTTGATTTAACCCCTGTTGGATTAAGGTGAATTTAGATATTCTAGCTTCCAATTAGAGTTCTTTCTAGAGGAGGATAACATCATTTAGAGGCTCTATAATTTTTCTGTATGGGAATTTGATACAAAGCTACCAGGCAGAACAAAAAACAGGCCCAAGGGAGTTTAGGGGTGAAGAGAAGCAGAGAACAGACTAATAGGTGACCCAGAAATCAGAATTATCCAAAATGGACTTTAAAATAACTGTGATAGGTTCAGCAATATAGACAATAAGATTGAGAATTTCACCAGAGACCGAGAATCTATAAACATATAAACAAATGGAAATTTTATAACTGAAAAAGTCACTGACATTATGAACTCAATAGATGGGTTTAACAGCAGCAAGAACTGAAATTACCTCCACCCTCAGTGAAGTTGCAAATGAAGAGTACATTAGTAAACCAGAAGGAACAAGATTATGCTATGGAAAGCCATAAGTATTAACAATAAAGAAAAGGGAAAAAGGGATATATGGGACATGGTGAAAAGTCTAACATATATGTAATTTGAGTCCCAAAAAGGGAAGAGAGAGAGAATGGAGCAGAAGCATCATTTGAAGTGATAATGGCCAAGAACTCTTCAAAAGTGACCAATGAGAAAAGAAGTGCTTTGAATTCTTAGGATTAAAAAAACAATTAAGCATACCACTGTAAAACTGCTAAAAACCAAAGACAATCTTGAAAGAAAGCGGGGTGGGGGGCGGAGGAAGCACATTACCATCCAAAGAGCAACCATGAGACAGACAGCTAACTTCTCAATAGAAAAGATGGAAGCCAGAACAACAAAATTATAGTCATGTGTCGCTTAATGACAGGGATACATTCCGAGAAATGCATCTTTAGGTGATTTTGTCCTTATACAAACATCAAAAAGTATACTTACACAAACTGAGATGGTATAGCCTACTACACACCTAGGCTATATGTTATAGCCTCTTGCTCCTCAGCTACAGACCTGTACAGCATGTTACTGAACTGAATACTGTAGGCAATTTTAGCACAATGGTAAGTATTTGTGTATCTAAACAGAGAAAAGATGCGATAAAAATATGGTATTATAATCTTACGGAACTACTGTTGCATATGTGGTCTGTTATTGACTAAAATGTCCTTATATGGTACGTAACTGTACAGCTTAAATGAAAAATCCAAAAATCAACAAGGCTCAGTCCCTATTTTCAAAGTGGTCACTGTCTAGGGGAGAAAGTTAGCAAGAATGATGATGGTTAATAAAAGCTACGTATTTTGAGTACTTGTGCTAGGCACTGTGCTGTGCTTTTTTTGTAGCATCTAATGTTCACGACAATCTAGTGAGGTAGATACTATTCCCTTTTTTCCTGAGGAAACACAGGAAATAATGTAAGTTGTCCAAGGTCTCACCACTGAGATAAAAACCCAAGTCTGTCTAACTTTAAAGCATGTTCCTCTGGTGCTTTACACCGCTGTCAGATGGCGGCTTAGGAGAGAAAGAACTGTGTGGTGAAATAGCATGCAAGAGTCAAAATAAATTCCAGTGTCGATGTCTTGGAGAAGGTGGTGTAGATAGATGGCCTGGACCTCAAAGGATGAGCAGACACAGAATAATGTTTGATGGCCTGGAAGTGGATTTGAAGAAATAAAAGCCTTTACTCTGATTAAAAAGAGATTTTCAAAGAAGGCAACAGAAGTGTGTAATGAACTTGAGATGCCTGAGTGCTATTTCTCAGGATGAGGATCTAAGGGTCTAGATGTGCCATCTACAGACTTTCAACCAAGTGCCTTGTTTTGAGGCCCTCTGAACCCTCCTCCTTAAAGAGGTATCTGGCATCTCCAATTCCTGAATGTTCCTGAACTTCCTTGCTGTGTCAATCTTGGGATCATACTATACAAATAATCTTACAGCCAGCATTTTTTACTTAATGTTTCATAATGAGCATTTTTCCAAAAAGTGCTTATTGCTAAAATATCCCTATGTAACCATCTTTAAGCCACCACAGAGGGAGAGTTCTAGATTCCTGCCAGAGGTTAAGCCAAGCTAGTCACACATGTAATTCACGTGCTTATAAAACAGCAGGAAGGAAAAAAACTTGCATATAAAATAAATTGTATCTTAGGACATCTACCCTCATCCCAACACATCTTCGATGGTTTAACTACTAAAAGTGACAGCATGAGGCCAGAGAAAGCTCACATCTCAACACATTAGAATAATTTTAAGTAGCCTGTTACGTTACGTACATTTTTAGTGCAGGTGCTGTAACAGTGACCTGAATTAACAGTGGCATAACAAGATAGAAGTTTTGCTCTTTCACCGCAATCTCAGTGTGATGTGACAGCTCCACCTAGGATCCTTCCATCCTGTTGCTCTGTCATTCCCAGGGTGTTTCCACTGGCCACATGATTAAAGATGGCTAATACAGCTTAGCCCGTGGGAAAGGGGAAATATGGCACAGGAAGCACACTTCTTCCTTTTAAAGGCCAGACCTCTATGTTGAACATTTCACTTCTGCTTATACCTCATTATCCAGAAGTTATGAGAAGACTGGAAATAATCTAGCGTGGTGGCCATGTGCTCTGTGCTATATAAGAAACTGAGGTCAGTACTGGGGACAGCTCATGGTCTCTGTCATATTCTGAGTTTAGTAAAATCGAGAGTGTTGAATTAATTTAGATTAATGTAGCTGATTGGTAAATTCTGATCTTTGTAGTAGGGCTTTTTTCTACTTGTTTATATGAAAAATGTAATATATACCAAACTTAAAAATAAAACCTATATAGATAAAATCATTAAGACTTTACCTATATACACCTAAGAGAATGGGGAAGCTTAATGCTTTATATTCCTGTATTCACTGGAATTAAGTAAAATCCTTTTCTCCTTTTTCTATTTTGGCCAGCGAAATCAAGCTCTTACATTCTTACTTTTGCTCATAATTCTAACTAATGAGATTCTAGAGCCTAGGCTTAAAAATGCATATCTTCATAATGAACCAAAAGAGACCAAGGTAAAGATGAAGGAGATGCCCCTCTACAGCAACAGAGGAAGAGATATGGTTCTGTTTTCACAGAATTAGTTCAAAGACTGCTTTGATGAAGTGTTAAATTAAGAACATTCATAAGAACTTCAATCTTGTTTCCCTGTGCAACGTGAAAACTTGTCTGAATATTCATAATCTAGCAACTTGGTCTTTGTTCTCAAAGGTATAATTTGAACAAAAGGGCCTTGTAAAAACTCTTAAGACTTTTGAGATTGTTATTATAAACTGCAAAGATAACCTTCAAAGAGAAGTCTATAATTCTGATTGGTTGTCTTCCTTGATAGTTTGTTGCCTTGGTAATAATGCTATAATTTGCATATCTGAATTCCCAAACAACCTAAAGACTTGTAACTTTCCTCTTTCAAATCAGAAGAGAATCATTGGCACATTTCTCTTTTCCCACATGTAAAATGGAGAGAAACAAATTCCTACTACGCTGATTTCTTATTTTAACAAAGATTTAATAAGCGAAATTGCCTTTTTGTGCATGGGAAAATTTAATATCTAATTTCCTTAATTTCAGGAATTCATGTAATTCTTACTCTTAAGTTACTTAATGTGGTTTTTCTTTTTCCACAGACTGTCCTTCATCCACCTGGGTTCAGTTCCAGGGCAGTTGTTACATTTTTCTTCAAGAAGCTATCAAAGTAGAAGGCATAGAGGATGTCAGAAATCAGTGTACTGACCGTGGTAAGGGGCTTATTCTTTTTTTGTGTGTGTTTTTACAAATTAGTAAATAGTGTTCACTGATTTCTTTTAAAAAATAATTTTGTTGTGTCTCACTTTTAACTGGGTAGTTAGAATTAATATACAGCTTTTATTCTACAACATACAAGCCACAGGCAGTGAAATTGAGTGTACACTTAATCCTGAAGTTGGAAGACAGTTGTTGGACAATATTGTCCAAAAGAGAGTGACAGAAGCTTAGCAACATAATGTCTATTTAATGTGCATACCCTGTGCCAGGCATTGTGATTCAGCACATGATATACTTTACCTGGCTTTAATTATCATAACAAACCCATGAAAGTAGTTTATTATTATCTTCCTTTATCAAGAGAAGAAATTAAATTCAGCTATTTGTTCAAGGTCACACAGGTAATAATTGGCAGAGCCAGGATTCAAATCTAGGACTGTTGGATTTTAGGCTTAGAGTTCTTAATCACTTTGTTATTCTGCCCTGAAAGTGCTATTTCAGGCATGCAATGTGGGCAGAAATCAGACTACATAGGACCATGAAGTGAGACTATGGTAAAGAAGAGTACATTAAGGAAAAATGATAAAAAGGCTATTTGCAAACCCCCAAACTATGAACATCTATTATGCATCAATAAAAAAATAATAAAACAAAAAATCCAGCATGGTACTCACATAAAAAGAGACACATTGACCAGTGGAACAGAATAGAGAGCCCAGAAATAAATCCACACATTTACAGTCGATTGATTTTTGACAAAGATGCCAAGAATGAACAATGGGGAAAACACAGTCTCTTTAATAAATGGTGTTGGGAAAACTGGATATCCACATGTAGAAGAATGAAATGGGACCTTTATCTCATATCATATGCAAAAATCAACTCAAAATGGACAACTAACTAACTCAAACATAAGACACTAAACTATAAAACTACTAGAAGAAAATATAGAGGAAAAGCTCTGTAACATTGGTCTGGGCAATGATTATTTGGGTATGACCCCAAAAGCATGGGCAACAAAAGCAAAAAGAGACAAATGGAATTATATCAAACTAAAAAGCTTCTGTATGGCAAAGAAAACAATCAACAAAATGAATAGACAACCTATGAAAGGGGAGAAAATATTTGCAAATCATACAGCTGATAAGGGATTCATATCCAAAATAAATAAGAACTCAGCACAATAGCAAGAAAACAAATAAACTGATTATAAATGGGCCAACGACCTGAATTTTTCAAAGGAAGACATACAGATGGTCAATAGGTATATGAAAAATGCTCAACATCACTAATCATTAGGGAAATGCAAATCAAAACCACAATGAGCTATCACCTCATACCTGTTAGAATGGCTATTATCAAAAAGACAAAAGATGTATGTTGGCGAGGATGTGGAGAAAAGGAATCCTTGCACACTGTTGGTAGGAATGTAAATTAGTATATCCATTATGGAAAACAATATGGAAGTTCCTTAAAAATTTAGAAAGGGTTTTAAGATTGCCAAGTTCTCCTTCAACAAAGAGTATTGACATTTATTGGAAATTTACACAAGATCTTTCTTTGTATTAAAAGCACTCCTAAATATTAAGTTTTGAGATTTGATAAACAGGAGGGGGAAAAGGTTATTTGTTGGGAAATATATTTATAATTTG